TTGATTTTATTACGTAGATAAGATCGTAAGCATAGTGTCCTTTGCTATTATTAGTAGGGAATTTGGACGGACTATATTGAATTGAGTCCCGAAAAATGGTGTTGGTAAAATAAAGCTGGTGGCGAAAAATTCAGAAGTTGGGTCTGTCTAAAGAACATAAGTCTAATTCGGAGAAAAGTAGATATCTCAAGTACTTTTTCGGGTTTCCATTTTCAAACGAAAATGACATAGTTGAATGTTTCACGGAAGATTTGATGGTGAACCATGTGATGTGATTTGAATTGACAGTTTCACAGATTACATTTTAGATAATTACATTGACAATGAAGTTGGACAGTTTCCCCTTAAAAATTTGGTGTGATTTGTCAGCAAACACTAATCGGACAACTAACAGTTGTGAAAGTTTTCATGCAAAATTAAATGCATTGTTTCACCCAGGACATCCGAATATTTTTATTCTTGTTGGCACTCTTCTGGGCATACAGTCAGATACCTACATAAAAATACGAAGCAATGCAACAAAACCATGTAAAAAAAACATTGGAAAAAGAACCATTTTTTACGGGAGCAGATTATCAAACATCAACAAAAAAAATTAGCAGATTTGACTATGTGAAATCGGTTTAATTTTAATTTTTACCAGCAACTATTAAATGTTGACACTATTTTAATTATTTTTAAAAATTATTAAAATTGAAAAACATTTTTTTGACCATTTATAAACAGTGTACACAAGCACACACATGTTTTGGGAGACTAATCAGTCAAACTCCATGTGTTGTCTCCTGGATAACGCTAATAGACAGAAGGCTCAACTCAAAAAACCAAAAAATATTTACTTTTGTCAATGTATTTTATTTTATATTTATTTTTTTAGTAACTTCAGGGTTGTAAGCCGTCAAGGATCCATGCTATAAGTTTTATGGGGTGTTTATTATCTCATGTTTTTTTTTTTTTATAGCGGTTTAATTTGATGAGAACAATTTTCATTTTTGAAATAGCGGGTTTTTAGGGGTTTTTGTCGATTTAAAAATTTATTTTCTCAAAAACTTGACGTGCTATGACAATATTTTAAACACACATTTGGATTGCTTGCGAAAAAAAAATCTATCGGACAATGTTGGTGATTCATCGTTTGCACAATACTCACCGAAATATAACAACAACGCCTAGTTGTTCACAAGTAATATTGTCCTTTATCTTTTCTATTGTAGGCGTTTTAAAATCACTTTGACAGGCAAGGTATAATACTACATCTATTAACCAACTTGTCTGAAAGGGGTTCATTTATCAATATGTTTTTGCCATTGAAAAGATCATCGACGAGATGATCTCGAATATGTAATTAACACTACAAATTGCGCCGTTCAAATGGAATAATTTAGGTGTTATATTTTGCATAGTTCAGAGTGTACCACTTAAGTCATTAAAAAAAAGGGTTAAATATAGTAACCGTGTTTATTTATACACATACCTGCACTACTTGATCGATTTGTAAATCAAAATATGATGCTGTTACTTAGGCTAAGTGTAACTAGGCTAAAGTCTTTATTGAGATTGTCCGTCACTCTGGATCCAGGGATCACTGATACTCATCTTTGCTACCTATTTATTCGTGTAAATAAACAACAAAGACAATAATAGTAAAGTGTAGTATTTTTGTTTTATAAGGTAAGGCAGTAAAATTGAGCAATTTAAAAAAAATATACACACAAAAGTTTCATAGAAGTTTTTATACAGGGTGATCCAACTAACGTAAGACACTCATTTTCTCTGAAAATATAAATATTTTGAAAACAATTTTTTTCCTAAACTTTTAGGTACATATTTTACTACATTTTTCAATATTTTGAAAATTTTTATCACGAATCCTTATAAGCCAAAATGGGGGATTTTTGTTTTTTTTAATGGCAACATATGTTTTTAATTACATAAGTTAGTAGACAAAAAATTAAAAATTATGTTAGCGTTTGAGTTTTGAATTTTCATTTATTTGTTCATTTGTTATGACTTTATAAAGATTTGAGTTTTTGACTGTATTTCATATTATTTTCAATCGTTACTACAAAGACGAGTAGTTTTATTACATTGCGTACAAATAATTTGACATGTTACCGTACTCTGTACCATAATCAGATATAATAAATAACCTATAATCTAAGTAATCTGTAGATAAGAACCTTTGTCTATTTCAAAATATTTTATAGTGAATTCCTAGTTGTTAGAATGTTATCGCCAATTGGACAATGCGAACATAAATATGAATTTGATGTGCTACCGGTTTTGGACAAACCGAAGAAATATGATTATTATTAAGAGGAAATGTAGTATCTTAACATAGTCATAACTAATGAACAGTTTAATAAAAATAAAAAAAATTAACGCTAACACATTTTTAAATTTTTTGTCTACAAACTTATGTAATTAAAAACATATGTTGCCATTTAAAAAAACCAAAAATCCCCTTTTTTGGCTTATAAGGATTGGCGATAAAATGTTTTAAAATATTAAAAAATGTAGTAAAATATGTACCTAAGGGTTTAGGAAAAAAATTGTTTTCAAAATATTTATATTTTCAGGGAAAATGAGTGTCTTACGTTAGTTGGATCACCCTGTATTATGCTTATTTATATGTTGTATAGTAGTGCCATTTATACTTACAGTACAACTGGTTAGGTACTATTTAATTGTACTCGGTAATCGGTATATGGAATATCTCACATGATTGCATTAGTGATTTGCAAACAAATTAGTAGTAGGTATATTACTATAAAGTGTAGGTATGTAATATTAATTAACATGTTAAATGTTTTATCAAGTGTATAAATAATGTGTCAGTTTATTAAAACTTGTTGATAGTAATGAAAAAATGTATAGGGCCAATACCAAATGATGATTGTATTAAATCAAACGCGATTTTTATTTAAATGATTGCATTTTTTTATCGAGTGTAGTAAAATTTGCCTGGTTTGTGGTAGATTAAGTCAAAATAAGTATTAATAAGTAAACATTTGGAATATAATCGTAATTTGTTTTAGCTCTTATTATAAATTTTCAATTTTATAAATATTTTGTTTTTTAGGGGACTATAGTATCCCTAAAGGGAATTATCTAAGGGGTTAATTCGATCATCCTTTAACGTTTCGGACAACACACGTGACTTAGATGTGATGTTTTCGTCTTAAAACGATTTTAGCGCCACTGCATCTCAACGTATATTCTTTTTTCAATGGAGAATTGGATTATAATAGCCGTCGTTTAATTGTTATTAACCTTTCGGTCCATATTCTTTGTGGTTCTGCAAAGACAACAGATGAAGACTTTATTTATAAGACTTTAATAGTTGTTATTATTCACATAAGACCTGCCGTTTTTTGTATACTTTTAAGTATTTTTTTTCTTAATAAACAAAGTCTGATGGAAGTCGCGAGCACGGATTAATTTAGTTCTTCAGTTTATTTTAATTAAAAATTGTCTATGAAAAATACATTAGATTGTTTTTATATTAGGTATACCTAAATTGGTTCGTTCGTTGTAAAAGTGGTGTGGCTTCAAAAAAGAAAAAAAGTTTAATTTTATTGCATTAGTTTTGGTTTCATTTTCCAAGTCACTATAAATTTGTATAACCATTGATTTGTAATAAACATTAAAAGAGGTACAAGTATTTGATCAGTGTTTTCTATTTTTTTTTTTTTTTTTGCTACACATTAATTTTCAAAAAGCTCTTTCTTTCAAAATTCAATTATAAAATGTCATTTAACCATAATAATAAATATTTAAAAATTAATATGGTCAAATGAGATGGATGATTACTATTTACTCCTTAATAATATGTCATGCTGGCAGCACAACTAGCACCATTAATAATCGTATATTATATACACATATTGTTAGTGTTGGCATTACTGGGAGGCGGTCTTTTTACGGGCAGCGTTTAGTCCGGCGGCGTTTTGTCGATTTTTTATCCGGCGACGTTTTGTCGATTTTTTGTCCGGCGACGTTTTGCGGTGTAACCGTGTCAAGTGGCCTGCCACAGAGCACAGGAGTGTGGACTGCATAGATATATATTATAATAAACTAGATTGCTAACTGTACATGCCACCAATAGAGAAGATTGAAGCAGCCACTTTCCGCCATATTGGTGGGAATTAGAACCTTATCACGCGCGAATTATATATGTTTATAACAATTACATATGTATGTGTAATATTGATGTAATAATATATACAGATGTATATTATATGCATTTATAGCACACATAAATCCCACCAGAATGGCGGACCGTCGGCTTCAATTCTTATCGCTAGTTGGCAATCTAGTTTATTATATATATCTGTGGTCAAAGCTAAAATCCAAGATAAAGAAGGGGAATCCCGCCAGACCAGCAACGTTCGATGTTTGCCGGCAAACAGTTGGAAGATGGACGTACCCTCTTTGATTACACCATGCAGAGTCGACCTTACATTTGGCTTTTTCCTACTTTTTACTAAACAAAAAGTATTTTGAATACTTTGTACACTTTTAAACGAATAGGCGATTCATGTAACAGTTTTCATTTATTTTACCTAGTCAATTTTTTTTTTTATTAGGTATATTAATATTTATTTAACATTTCAAAAATTTGCACCTAGGAATTTGCTCCAGGGGAGATGAGATTTTAGTTGTAGTTGTGTTGTATTTTAAATGGCACTACGTTTTAATGTCGTAGATTAAAAAATTATATACAATAGGTAACGTTAATGTAACAATAGAAAACAATATTTTATCAGCATTTATTTCAATGTTGTTGGAATCTATAATAAGGAGCTTCAAATTCACATTCAGTCAACCATCAATATTGTACTTATTTGCTGTTGGTGTAACAAATTACTTGAAATATCAAAAGCGTATCAGCATTTATGAACAGTATAAAAAAAACAACATGTTTTTCAGGTTACAATTATTTTAATAATCACAAATAGTAGACCACAATATTTGAGTATAATATCATTCTAAAAACATCAAGTTAGATAGTTTCGCTTAGGTCTAAAATGTTAACATAATAATAAAATAAATTTACAAATTAAATATATGTATACATTTTACTTATTTATTATTTAAGATATATTTTTAATCAAACAAAATTAACAATTAACCGACAAATTACAACACTATTTGTTTTACATGAATTCGATTCAAAAAAATAAAAATGTTAAGATTAATTTATAACTTGAAACAATGATGTGTAACTCACTTATGATAGTCTATTTGAATACAAATAAGAATTAAAAAAAAAAAAAACTCATGGTTTAGTAGAGTTGAAATAATAATTGTTAGTTAACACTAAAATGTACAAAAATTAATAAACACTTTTGCCTATTTCATACAAATAAAATGGTATTATGTTTATCGTTATATATTTATATATTATGTAAAAAAAAAAAAACAAGATGGCTTTGTCTTTTTAAGTATAAACATTTATGTTGACAGTACTAACAAATTACAGCTTATATCAATAGATATTATCACGGTGTTAATAATAAATCAATTACAAACGATAGAAGGAGGGGATACTCCGTATAAATAAAAGAGAACAAAACATTTTAAATTAAAAATCAAAAGCGTGTAAAGATAATATACAGTAATTAAAATAGTTGTTTTCATCATTGTAAGCTGCCATGGATATATAATTTAAGAACAATAATTAAACGAAAAATTACATTTTAACAACGCTACACAATTAAAATTGCACTAAAATAAGTTTCCGTTATCATTCAGGTTGTTTTTTCTTACAAACCTCAATGTAAGAAAACCTCAAAAAGCTAAAATGTAACATGTAGGTTGTAAAGTGCAATCTATAATGAGTGGATTGAACGGTAAGACATTTCGGATTAAAAAAAAAAAAAGCAGATTACATATTTTCTAGTAATATGGTAAAAATTCACAAAACGAGTAAATCGATCGAGTTTTCTAGTTTAAAGACAAAGCGATCATCTTTTAGTGTCATTAATATTATTTAAATTGTATAGAGTACTTATTATTTAGTATTTACGAGAATTATATAATATATTAGAAATATTGAAGTATGATTGGTACGATTAAACTAGATTTGAAATAATTGTTATTGAATTTCCCTACTCTTCCGACTAATTAATAATTTAGATAAAATAATATAATAACAATAAAAGTAGCACTCGTATTTAATACTTCATCCACTATCAAGTAGAATACACCTGCCGCAGCCCACTTTGCCTTCATTATGATAATAAATCTGAAATATACATTTGACACACGACGTAAAAAAAAAGAAGGTAAAACCAAAACACTAATATCTTAAATCTTAAAAACAAATACCATTAACAATTTGTTGTTCTGGCCTTTTACTTTCTTGGTATGTAGTAGTAAAATCAGTTGCACTGTCTTGAACACATTTGCTCATGCCAATGTCAATGATTTGAGTGGACAATGTGTTCGAAGGAATAGGCTCCAACGATAAATCGAGTAGATTACTAGTTACATTACTTATGGGCCTATAAAAACAAACGAAAAATCCACATCAGCTGTAAAAAATGTATATATTATTAAGAGCAATTTGATATGTTGTACACATACTCTGTAGCGAAAACTTTGCCGTTAGCTTGGTCGTTGCTGTTCGAGAGGCCGTTGCCATTTGTATGAAGAATGTTACTATCATTTGAATGGCCGTTTTGTTTGGGAGTAGGTTCTACTCCATTCGATTGGGTAGACGAATGATTTATTTCTGCACTTATAAAAGCATCACTAGATATTTGGCTTTGACTAGGGGTATCCACTTCTGGCGACGTTTTATCGATTTTTTCTCCAGCACTTAACTCTGCAGATTCAGTCTCTTCCTAACGAAATCAATTTTTATCATTGCAACAACACTATCATAATAGCAACGCTTATATTTAACAAAACGACGTACTTTAGTTGTCGTATTAGCAGATCCTTTCCCTTGGTTTCTGGTTCTTAACATAATAGCTTCAACTCTTTTACGTCTCAATTGTCGGTCTTCTTCTTCTTTTTTTAGTTTAATTTCCATTTCTTGTCTCAACCTAAAAACAGTTAATATATTATTGTTTGTCACTGACACAAGTAAAATGTGTATGGGGATTTCTGCTTTTTGTTTATGGGGGGTTAAAAAGCTGATTTTTGATTTAGCTATTAGGAACTAAGTTAGATTTATGAGAAAGTGATAAATGTACAAGTAAAATACTTACCAAGATACTGCATACGTATTTATTTTTTTTTTTTTATAGGAAGATTTAACTAATAAATATATTAATTATTATTTAATTTTTTATTAACTACTCATTGTTAAGTTTTTTTAATTCTTTAAAAGTTCAAATAACTTTCGTTGAGGTATCAAAATAAGAAGTAGTTACTGTTATTGTAGTACTAAAAATGTACATATTTTGAAAAAAAAAAATGAATATATATAAACTTACTTTTCTGCTTCTTCTTTCGCCTTACGCTCTGCTTCTTCTTTTTCTAATTTTAATTTAACTTCTTCTTCTTTTTTCTTTTTTTCTTCTTCCTCGCGTTTTTTAGTTTCTTCTATCGCAAGTTGTAACCTTAACTCTTCGGCTTTTCTAGCTTCCTCCAAGAGTCTCAATTGTTCTTCTTCTTGGCGACGCTGTTCTTCTTCTTCGAGTTTAATTCGTTCTTCTTCGGCTATCCGTTCGGCTTCCTTTAAAATATCGTAAAGATTTTATTAAGTTAATTTTTTTGTATAAACTTTTTTTAAAATTATTTTCTATGTAAAAACTATGTCGGTTTCAACTTTAGTTTAAATAATAGTAATGTTTACATTACTATTATTTATGTTACGAGTACATTAATTATTATAGTGAGCACTCACTAATCGTTGTCTCTCTAATTCTGCTTCTCTTTCCGCTTGTTCGCGTGCCAGTCTCCTGCGCTCTGCTAAAGCCGCTTTAGCTTCCACTTCTGTTGTAATCTTTTGTTTGGTAGCCAACATTGAAGCAGTCATATCACATTCTGCTGCTTCGTTCGTAGACTCTTGCACTGAACTACTCCGACTGTCTTCATCTTTGGTGATGTTCCCCGATTCGTTAAGTTCAGAGGACTCGACAGTTTTTGTTGTAATTTTGTTCTTGTCCTAAAAAAAAATATAAGACAATGTAGTTTGAATTATATGGGCAAGTTATATTGTGTTTACCTTTGCTACCGATTTATCACTAGGGAATTTCTTTGTTTCCACTTTAGGGGTAATTGCTTTTTTGGTAACGTTCACTTTAGGCAATGGAGGTCTTTCCCCACTGGCCGGAGACTTCACAGATTGATCTAAAGACGTAACACCGGTCACGGCTATACTAATGGGTCGAGGCTTTCGCGGTGTCGCCACGGGTCTGGATCTTGGTTGTTGCGACGACGGCCCAGTGATCGATTGGCTCATAGAACTCTGTGGTCGATTGTTGGGTGTCATTTCTCCAGATTTCGATCCTAAAATTTCCAACAAATGCTACCATAAATGTATAAGAAAAATTAACACACAAATATATATCGGTAGGTCGCTGGAATCACAATTACAACTTCAACAACAGGTTAGTCAAAGACAGATTAACCGAAACCACCATTTTCCAAAACCTAAAGGTAATAATAATTAGTAAATCGTGATTATAAGACGTATAATGCATGTTATTTAGTGACATAATCATTTGGAGTGGGATTGAAATTACAAGTACAAAATATACTCAAAATAATCCCATCAAAAGACCTATAGTTTTAAATTCTACAATAAAAACTTTATTTCCATGCTCAATTTTAAGAACCTACAATACTGTAAAAAGAAACCATTTGAGTTTAATCTGATACTGAGCTTCTGCAAGTAAGATTTTTGTACAAAAAATAAATACACATAATATGTACCTTGATTAAATTAATCTATAAAGTATTTTATATACAATATATATCATTGACAAAATCAAGGAATAGAATATATTCTTTTCGAGATCTGAAACACTACAGTTTATTAAATAATTCCATTTTGCCGTTAACATGGTAACAATTAACACTATGGTAAACATTTTACTTGTAGAGAATAACACAAAATTCAAATATTACATCATAACATGACAATTCATAAGACAAGTAATTTGGTGTGTTCAAATTCAATTATATGAACGCCTTGACCCGAGTACCGCCACCTGTGGAGTAGTTAACTTACTGATATTATTCTGACTTGTGTAAAACCACCACTGTGTAAGACCAGATGCATAGAATAAACCTACATAAGAGTTGTACACCACTAAAGCATAAGCAGCAAATAATTTAACGTGTTAGAGAATGCGGAAAAAAACAATTTAGCACCAGACCGGTGGTAATCCAACCCAGACCTTCTGTTTTCCGGGCGGCTGCTTCAACTATTGAACTACTTGGGATCCATCATCTCATGTCATGCATTTCCGCACCTCTTAAACTGTTGCTAACACTACTATTTAAGCAAAATATTCATACTAAGCATTTCTACGTTAACTACAAGTAGCTAAATGATACAATAATTTTTCTTTAAATAAATAATAAAATATTAAAAAAAAAAAATACAAATTGGTATGACGTTTAAAAATAAAGAATTAGAAAAAATAAGTAGGTTTATCTTAGTTTAAATAAATATTTTTTACACTTTGGTCGAAAACTATAAATTTTATAACGCAATGATAAAATTAATGTCGTCTATCCAGTGTTGATGTATTTTGATTAAGGTATAGATATTTTTCAATAGTTTAACATTTTATTAAGACAGTACATGCGTATGTATATTGTTAACGGGTAAACCAAAAGAACTATGAGATGGTGCAAATTAGTAAAATTCAACCTAGACAAAGTCATAGAATAACACTTAATCTGTAATGATAATAATAACTTTATTATTTGTCATGCACAAGTTAGAAGCACACATTTGAATTAATTATATATTTTTTAATATTATAAAGTACAACAGACGCCGAGTTGGTAAAAAGCCGATTTCATAAAAAAATCCAGTTAAATTTGTAATGGTATACATGAACCCAATAAAGTCCAATAAAAGCCCCATAATATCAGGTAAATACCAATATTTACTGGGCTTTAGTAAAAAAAATGTATTGTTTTTCAACTCTAAACAAAAAAAGTATGGGGAATTTAAACTAAATTACATATTTGATGAAATTTTGAAAAATGCTTATTTAAACAAAGTAGTTTTTTAAAAAAAAAAGTTTGCGTCTCATTATTGAAATTTTAAGGTTAACATTATTATAGAAAAAGTACTGAGTAATAAATAACGATAAAAGTACCGATGTTGCACAACTTGTTTTGGAAGAGAAGCAATGAATAAAAAAAGTGCATTAAAATATGAAAATAAACCGAAAGCTTGACACTTACCTGCAGGATTGGAGTTTGCAAACTCTCTGGCGCGCTTACGTAGACGCTCGGCTCTAGTGAGCCTGGGCGGCGGCACTGGGTTCAAGGCGATCATACTGCGATGCGTTGAGCGTTCCTTGTTAGCGTCTAAAACAGATTGCGCAGCCCCACCGGCCAAGTGGCACATGCTGCGCGCTGATGACAAGCGGCCACCGTATGACGCAGCGTTGTCCAATCGTGTCATCGAACTTGCCCTACCTGGAGAACGACGGGACGAACTGGCTGATCCAGGGCGGCTAGGCGTTAGATCACGTGGGGACACAATAGTGGGCATCAGGTCTGTCTTGCGTCTGGCCGCTTTACGTTCAGCGCTTCCATCACCTTCGGTTACCCCTAAACACATATTATGTTACACATGTACAACCTCCACCCGGCTACGTTTATTTTTTTTAAATTTACAGCGCAGCTTAGCTTATACACAATAAATGCACACTAAATATTACGATACAAAGTTAATACTATAAAATATCCTACACATAGAAAATTCACACTTTGTTAAATCTAAACAAAATACATCCTTGTCCAAACACTGTACAACATAAATTTACATTTATTATGAATTTAACCACCACTAATGTGTTGAACTGGCACAGCTCAAGGTCTACCAAATACACAAAAACTCTTTTAATATTCATTATAAAGATATATATAAATAGAACATACACTACAAAAAAATAATAAGCTAAAGATGTTTTTTTACTTTAATTAAAAAGTTATAGCTAAACAAAATAACAGTCAGAGAAAAGTAGTTTGCGTTATAATCTTATCGACGGATGTTATGTAAGGCTTGGTACTAAGAGTGCCTGTATTAAATTTTTGTACAATGAAAAATAGACATTGTCCCCCCCCCCTATCCCCCTCGCACAAGCTCTGCTTATTTAAATAAAGAAAAATTTAGTGAGCTCAAGTGTGTCCAAACAAATAAGTATGCAGAATGTAAAATAAAAAAAGAGATTATCAAAGTAGAAATAACAATTATTCACTCAGCAAAATTCAAGTTATACCTCCATTATATTTTTTATACATTTTTTTTTTTATTTTGCTCGAATTTGTTCATTTAGTTTACTAAAATAAACGTTAAATTTTTAACAGAAGCAAAAGCGTAACAATAAATCAGTAGAAACATAATTTAGTTACACACAAGTAAATTAAAAACATACAATAAACTGCATTAACAAAGTTTCATGTTTAACATATTTAAGTAAATATTAACAAAATCGAAGGTAATGTTATTGTTTTTTTTAAATATATTTTAATTAATTTGTCATAACTTATTAAAATTTTAGTAAAATAAAAAATCATAATACACTATACATATCTAAATCATTGATCAGAAGGTGAAATAAATTTAATATATTCTAAAAATAAATACTTTATTAATTGAATAAGGCCCAATATTGTATTAGTTCTAATCTTGTATTAACTACAACTAGTAAATAGTTATATTTTTTTCGAGAGTTTTTTTTCTTACTATTTAACTTCAATAAAACATATGCCATAAAGTAAAATAATTAATAAGACAATTTGTTTAAATTGTAAAATAAAAAATTAATGTTACATCTTTAGCTACCGATAACTTGAATGCTATTTTTTGTGTAGTAAGATGTACGTTTTTAACTAAGTAATGTAAATATATACACATTGTATTGTTTCGAGTGTTTTAACTTCAATATAACCTTCATTCCTCATCATCACGTCAAAACAAAAAGTATACTGCTTTTAAGTGTTGTTATGGGGGCTATGTTGTAAACAAATAATATTCATGCATTCGATTTAGTGTTATAACTATATTTTAGTTTTCAAATCTTGTTTAAGTCACTCGGTTATGTAAGTTGTTAATGTTCGACACGCAATTCCCATAACTCACCACGACTAACGTCTAAGGGGTGTTCTGGGATAGAAGGGTAGCAACACACATCATTCCAATGTAAAACGTCCATAACGGACCGTGTTGTGCATTCTGAAAAACCTTGGTTCAAACATTGCATTTCCCATTTTTTTGTTTTCAACTAAAGTTATGTAGCAAACAGGCATGCACTTGTCAATAACCTACCATCGGAACTACGATTCGAAAGACCTCCGGCGGAAGCGGCTCTTTTTTTCCCCGAACAGTCATTTAGCTCTCGTTCTGAAGATCGTCTCGTGAGGGGACCCATTGGAGCCATACTGCTCAACATCATCACATTGCTGGTTGATGTAGCTCTAAAAAAAACCAACAAAAAAACACTTGAGTGGGCATTTGATAATATTACTTAACGATAAGATAACACTTTATAAAAAGGTTTTTTTTTTTAATATAGATAACCATTTTCTGAACCAATAAGAGCAAGCTTACCTGCGACTCGCCCAATAAGATCCTCCGGTTTCCGACGGTTCAAGCATTCGAGGTGTTGAACTGCCAAAAGCGAAAACAATCGAACTCCGTTCGTTTCTTCTTTTCGACTCGATTCTTGCCTCTCGCTCCTTAAAAATGTGAAAATAACATATCAAACCATCAATGTAAAATATATACACACACGAGGTTATCCCCACATTATGATAGGGGTAGTTTTAAAAATCAAATAGTAATCTATATAATTTATTTTATTCTGTAATGTCTCTTTAAGCGCTAACGACATAAAACAACGTAACGACCAGTCACTATTATATCATTACATCGTTCTGGTTCTTAAAGACAAAATTTGCTTAATGTATGTTGTCTTTCTTAGCTTCGGTGCGGAGCTGAGAAGGTTGGTTTTTACAATGAGGTGTTTCTATTTTTGTGTCTGGACCCACGATATCTCGTAAACCGCTGAACCGATTTCTTCGTGTAGCAACTCTATAGATCAGGAATCATACTTGTAAGGTACTTTAAAGGGCCAAAAATTAAAAAAAGTCTCCCCTTCCCCATCAAAATCGAGAAAAAAAAACTAGAAAAAAGGTACAAATTTTTCAACTTAAAATTTCAATGCTCTGTAACTTTTTTTAAAAATAGTCGAAAAAGTTCCAAATTTATATGAATTGTTCTTCAAACATAGTACTATGGATAAACATTAAAAAATCAAAAAAATATCATAAACCTTTGCCCCTAGAAGGGATAGAATTTTTTTCTTTATTTCACTTTATCAAGCAAAATTTTAGAGATTTAGATCTGAAAGTTCCACTGAAGGCGGATCTAAAATGAAACTATAACATAATGTACAATTTTCTCAAAAATCTGTAGTGAAATTTTTTTTTTATTAAAGAAAAACACCAAAAAATAGGGTAAATTTACACTTTGGCCACAATGTCAGTTTCTAGGTTGCCACGTGTGAGTGAGTAGTCAACGGGTAATGAAAATATTTTCATTATATTGTTAATTACGATACACGGGTAACTATGACAGTACATTTTTATAGACAGACGATCAAACCCTTATCGTGCCCATCCTGCACAAGAATAAATATTAAATTTCAAGTACATTATTGCTGGTCCTACGATATTTTCTAAACCGCTTAACAACTGGTTTGAACATACTGTCCACAGATTCGCACGGAAGCGTTTATTTAAAAGCGATTTTATCACTTTCAGTTATATTTTTAACACAAAACTTTTGAAAAACCTATTTTTCATTTGTGAAACTACTCTTTTGACTATAGCATAATTATTATTCGATAGCAAAAAATACTGTAACATCAAAATCCGTGTAACCCTGTTTATCTCTCATAATATTATTATATTCCAAGTGATACCCCATACTTGATTCTTTTTGAGAATCGCTTCGCGTTTTTCGCGTTCCGCTTCGAACAACTGTCGTTTTCGCTCTTCTACTTGTTGCCTCCTCTCGAAGTCTCTTGTACGCATTTCTTCCAAGCGTCTTCTTCGTTCCTCTTCTTTTTGTTCCCTATACCTTTGAACGGCCAGCGCCTAGAAATAACAAAAAAAAAACTCTATAAAACAACAACCATGTCGGGGGCACAAATCCAAAAAAGTCATCCGCCAAGAAAGAGATGCATAAAACAACCCTGTTTGGATCATTCCACGTGAAATCACCTAATGGGTGTGAGACTATATTTGAAATTTGTATCATACATTCTTTATAGGTCGTCCTTAATAACAAAAAAATTTAAAAAAAAAAACGTTGAAACCTTATTTCTGGTGTCAAAATAATTTCTCCATCACCAAACTTTTACCAGATGTTCTACCCGCTAATAAGTAAGTATTGCATGAATTTGTAAAATTTTCGTTCAGTCACATTTGTGTTGTGGGTCATCAAAGTAGGTAGTTTTCAGCAAAATAACCATATTAGAAGCTTAATTAAATTAAAAACAAAAAAAAAACTTAATTGGTTCAAAGATGATAGGGATCATAAGAACAAAACTTAAATTTGATATAAACAAAATATTTGTTTTTAATTTTTACCTTTTTGACCCCAAAAAAAGGTTTTGAAAAATTCAAAAAAAATAAAAAAAATGTCTACGGTTAAAAAAAAAAAAATACGTTTTCTTAAAATTTGGTTAAAGTACAACACTTAGTTAGAATTTTAACTGTGCAGGTTTCATGTCTATATACCACTATCGGCGGTTAAATTACAGAGTCGGGAACATGAGGTGTTTTTGGATCATTTTTTTTTTAAAATTGACCTACCTAAGTGCAAAAAAATTTTTTTTTTTGTTATTAAGGACCCATAAAGAATGTATGATAAAAATGTCGAACATTTTTGAAGTATAGTCGCACACCCATTGGGTGATTTCACTTGGAATGACCCGTTCATAAATGCAGCAACTGGTCTATAAAAACCCAAGACATTACCTGTTGCTTGAGCTCGTCCAGTTTTCTTTGACGTTCCTCATCGTGTTTCTCGCGAACGAGTCGCAATCGTTCTTCGCGGTCTTTAATCGCATTTTCTTTGCCTAAGCACAGTCACAACAAAACAAAACGCGCAATTAGTCGTTATTATTGCATATTAAATTAGCCATTAAGTTTGGCGACAATATTGATCTGAACGACGATGACCGATCCTGGCAAAGTTGGTAAAAAAAAAAAAAAAAAAGGAGGGTAAAGCATTAACCCGGGTTGTTTTTACCAACTCCGTCTCGATTCGGTACCACACACGACCCTTACACATCCCAAAACGTGCGAGTCACAAAGAACACATGTTAATAACAGTTATTACGTCACATATATTATACTATAATCCCTCGGAAGCAATAAAGACAACAAGTCAAGCTCGTCGTTATGTCCTCGGCAAACGGTATAGTTTGAGAGAAAATCAAAAAAAATTCTCATCGAAAACTATACAGAAATGGAGAAAAAAGAGCACAACAATATACAAAATGCCCCCTCCCCCCAAAAAAACCGAAAAGTTGCTCTAATTTGTTTAGATGTGTCTCGCCAGCAAAAAAACAAACAAAGTAGTAGAAACCAAAGCATATGAACACAATAAAAGCTCCAAATTGGTTAGTTTTTTTAATTATAATATATTCGTCTCTAATTTTTGTACTATTCAATTATTATTATAAATAAACAGCGACGGTAATGACATTATATATTTGCTTATTACTATTATTGTTAATTATGTATAAAATTAGCATCAAAAGATAATCAACACATTGATATTAAATTATCTATTGAAGATTGTGTGTTAGTATTATAATGTATAGATAAAATATGTAAAAAAACCACACAGGCCAGAAAACGTTAAAATGAACCTGTTTCGTCTGTATCGTCATAAGGGTCAAACGATTCTGCACCATGAGCAAACCAGTGAAGTCCTCCTGGGCGAATATAAGAAAATAACATTTGAATTTTAAATTTAACAATTATTATACATAACCACACAAAAAATAAAGGTTTTATTCGATTTTTACAAAAAAATGTAGGTATTGCCCCTATTGGACAATTACATTGAACAATAAATGCTCAACTCCAAAAAAAATGAGATGTCTTTTATAATTTAAAGTTATGACGAAGATTATAATTAGAATGAAAAAAAAAATCTTTTCTTAAGGACGCGAATTTATTTTTACTATCAAATAACGCATAAGAATTTATTTTTATTAAAACAATTATTATTTAACACGTTTAAATATTGAATTATCCTACAAAAAAACGTTTTTTTTTTTGGAAAAGTTATTGACACTGTTAAGTTTTTTTTACATGTTTGACCAAACTCGTCGACACGAAATGAACACAGAATACTGAGAAAACGTTTTTTTATTGTTTGAACAAAAATCAAAAATATATGTTTATCTAACAATGTTTAAATACTTATATTATTCATGAAGTCTTTTATTAAAAAAGAAATAATAATAATTCTCTTTGTTGTAGTTAAAACTATAACAAAAGAATTTTTCCTTAGAATGAATTGAACATTTTAAGCGAATCGATTAAAAATTAGGTCGAATGATAAAGGAATTATATTAAAAAAAAAAACATGTGAAAATATAAAATTTGTTAATTTAAAAGTGTATGTATATAATTACTTCATTAATTCAAATGATACTAGATTATCTTCATGTTGGACACATAACACATTTGTATTAATAGCCATTGGAAATTAAAAAAAAAATAGTAGAAAAATTATTTTTGGAATCCGGATAAAGAGGAAATAAGCCCAGAAGGTTTGAGCACGTTGAAAGAAGAAAGCATTATAAAATAGAAAAGAAGAGAATGAAAGTAGAGTATAGAGGCGCAGTAGAAGTGCAGAGGAGTAGAGAGAAGAAACAATTTTGGTGGCTGACCCTACTTATGTGGGATGTTAAGGCGAAGGAAAATAAGATAATTATTAGAAAAATAAATTCAATAAACAAAAATTTATCTACATATTATTATTATATTGTAATATTAACCGAGGCCGAAACAAAATATATAACGTTATACATCAAGACACCTACTTAGTACGTTATCTCGTTACCTTGATACCTTGAAAACAACCATCTGACAAAATGTATTACACATTAGGTAGAACGTGGCTATTATACAATTGGCTTTTAAAAGCCCAACTGTTGAGCATATTTTAAATATCTTTAATATGCGGCTATTATTTTTTTAAGGCTGCCACACAATTTTAAAACTACCGGTCGAGTAGTAGTAGTAAAAAATAAATATTTACCTTTTGAAGAATTCTGAGGTGCTGTTGGCGCAGTACTTGGCCGGTTGTCAGAGTTAACAGTAGTTACCCCCGCTGTAAAACAAAATGATAACGACAATTAGTGTACTTCGTTGGACATATAACAGGTTTTTCACAATAATAAAATAATATAAAATATAATAGTTGAACATCTATAAAGGAAGGGTGACGACTCGGCCAAAACTTATTGTCAATCCGAGTGGGCGAGCGTAAACGGGTTTGTCTCTTCAGTCTCGCCCACGCACGTTTGCACGGCTGTGCGTTTGACTCATCTTTTTTTATGATAACAAAATACTAAAATGATACAGCATCTAATAAAACGGACATGATCCATAGCAAGCGCGTTTGCTTTAGACCGTTTGCCACTTGTCACTCTCGTGTGTAATTTAAGAATTAAATTTAATGATGATATACATGCAAAACGATCAGAGAATGCGGTATAAGTTTTATCAGCAAGAAAATATGCAGGTATATGTTGTGATAAAAAAAAAAATTACAGCAGGTCCAGGGTGGCCTTGACGAGCAAGGACCACTCCCTTTTAACACATGCCAATGGATTTTCGGTCAACGCCGTTAGACTCGAATGTGTATATTTGGAAGTCATTACAAAAAGGATATTATACCAGGACGGCTGGCTAAATTCAATTCTTTGACCCTTTCAAAGAACAGCTGTTACAACTTAAGTTAAATCTTGGGCCCTTATTGTACCATCACGAAGAGACACGAATAACATTGTCGAATCCCAGCGCAAATCTTATTATTAATACATCTTCATTTCCCACGGTACATATAAAATTGCCCCCGGCCATGCCATACGAAAGGTTGTGTATACTCGCATGGTTTTCTAATAAGTAAGTATACCGGATTGGAAAGGCGTAACATTTAAGAAACATGTAAGATCGTTTGCATCAAGCCGAAATCAACACCAGTGAGTCATCGCCAGTAGGCTTTGGAAAGCGCACATAGAAGGCGGCAGCGGTATAAAACAACTAGTTTGAATCATTTGATTTCCTAGTTACGTATTTAATGCTTAAAATTTGAACCACTTATCTCGTGGTATTTTCTTTATCGACTGTCGTACTTAACGTACAGAATCAAAGGCAGAAATAAATTACATTAGTAAAATTGTTCAAACTAAATAGTAAAAAACAAGCGAGATTGTACGAATAAAATAGTTCTAAGTACCATATTTCAAGTAAAAAAAAAAAAAAAAATGTACGTCTAAAGCTAATCAAATGGAGTTTGTCAAATGATTATTTTTTAGTTTGCCGACTACATATTTTATGTAGTTTAATTATGAATAAATAACCAAATCATGGTCTAGCTGCCTTACTGGCTACCGCGGTGTTGTTTGGTTACAACCCAAATCAACCGACACAATTTTTTATAAATTAAAATATATGTATACACAATGTATTTGCGCAGTTGACATTTTTGTTTACCATTTTATGATGATTGTTTTACATATTAAAATATTACTTTTTATTACAAGCCATATCCTTCATAATGTAATATGTTCTAATATGTAATATAGCAACAAAAAAAAAAAATGAGCCGTCGTCTTAACCACACATATGTGCGGTAAGGAAACATACACCAACCAATGTATATATTGATAACACAATTTATGTTATTATTAAACATATGAAATATGAATGTTGAATTTTGGGCAAAGCATATGACTCGTGTTCTAATAAAATGTCTTAGCACAGGCCAGTTAGTAGGACTGAACACATATCGTAGTACCGGTCGCGATGGGCTGCGGTGAGTACAGGGTGACGACGAGGCGGCGTGTCGGCCTTCGGCGGATGGGCGGTACCGGCTGCGGCGGCGGTTGTTGTACCCTGCGTCGAGGCCTGTCGGCGGCCGACACGTTTTCGCTGGACAGCGAAGACGCCAGGATGTCACGGAGTTCGGACAGCGCCGCTTCGTCGTCTTGTGACGTCCGGTCGTGCGCCGCCACCGCCGCCGCAGAACCCGTGAAATGACCACAAGGCCGTTCTAGCCCCATTTTTTTTTTTTTTACACTACACGCGTTTTACTATAAATGAAAATATAGTAACATAGTATTATTACTACTGTGTTGTTGTTGTTGTTGTTATTGTTTCAACCGCACCACCACGGGTCAAACCGCACCGTTGCGCGGTACCGACGGAGAAAACGATAACGGCGGACCGCATTGCGCGTTAACCATTCGTCGACGACTGACTGACACACATAGTTAAAACGGTGTCCGTCCACGCTAAAATCACCGTATGTACAACCGCACACGCACAAGCCAAGTACAAATAAAGCAAACGCTGTATATTATAATATGTACACCTGTGGAGGCGGCGACGCGGCCCATACGAGAGCAGACCACGGCCGTGTCAAGACGACGGACCGCGTGTGTCCCGAAGGTCTGTGTCGGCGGCGGTCGCCGATCATCATCATAACGCGCCCCTCGTTCATGATAATTACAACAGCCGCCGTTTAAAGCAAACGGGTTATGTAGACGGAGGCTGATTTTGGTTCGCAGCGTTATACATACAACAACACACGATAGTCGAACAAAAGAAGGCCCGGTCGATTACAAGCGGCGTTTCGGTACTGTTTGTTTTCGGCCAACGTTCGATTACACCGGGGACAAGTGTCCATTCGCTGCGGTAGTCGCTTATACGCCAGTGTTGGGCAAATTGTAATCTGATTAATGATTAACGATTACGATTAATAATTGTAATCAGTAATCATAGTGTTAGATTAATGTAATCATAATCAGAAAAGTAATCGTATAGGTATGATTACTGTAATCATATAAATGTAATCACGGTTACTTTTGTATTATTAATGTAATCATAAATGTAATCATGATTACTTTTGTATGATTAATGTAATCGTAAATGTAATCATGATTACATTTTTTTAACCGCCCTAGGTTTTCTTTATAAATAATAATATTGGTTGTCTACAACGATTTGACCTTCGAAATATCATCTAGAATTACATTTTTTAATCAGAATTTTTTCTAAATTATTCGTTAGTCATATAGGTAACGAAATATTAAGAAATTAATGACAAAACAATATGAAATATCCAAAAGGATATTACAAAGGCCAAATCATCTTGGAACAACCCAAACAATTTTTTTATATAATATTTTTAGAGAAAACCTAGGGCGATTCATTTTTTTTAAAATATATGATTACAATTGAATGCTTAACTGTAATCATACATGTAATCATGATTACTTCTGTATTATTAATGTAATCATAAATGTAATCATGATTACTTTTGTATGATTAATGTAATCGTAAATGCAATCATGATTACTGACTACTTTTGCAAAATGATTAATGATTACAAAAAGTAATCATGATTATTGATTACTTTTATAAAATGATTAAATGATAATTGATTACTTTAATCATGATTACATTACTAAAATCGATTACGTAATTTAATCATAAAGTAATCGATTACGCCCAACACTGTTATACGCATACAGTTATAACATATTATTATTATTATGTGTAAACAGCAATATATTACTGTTCGACGGCACACGGTATAGGCATATACGGGTATAACCCTTAGACCAGGACCGTATATAGCTAGAGGGAAGGGAAAGGCAAGTACCCCGTGTACACCGAGCGTACATGAAATGGTACTAGTGAATTTTTTTCCAAAAACAAACGTTTTAATACAACAATATATTTTAATCAATGAGACCTTATCACACGAGTTAGTTTTACACTTCTTGTCGATTTGGAAAGAGATAATATTGAGAGAAAAAAAACTGATCATCGCTCATAAGAACACGTTGAAATTGTAATTTTGGTCTCGTGTAAAATGTTGTTAAAATTGCTTATGACTTGTAAGTTTTACCTTTATGATTCTTGTCATTTCAAACATACAAGACAAGTTTTTTTGTGGCCGACGCCTAGATAGGTAAGGGGCGTTGTAAAAGCATTGTCTGGAAGTACAAAATTCCTAAATACGGCGCTGTATTGTAATAAGATAAAATAGAATATGTGTATGAAATTTTACCATGTTTAGATAAAAGGTATAAAATTTAAAAAATTGGAAAGTCGAATTTCGTTACATTCAAGTATTCCCACACATTTATTTAGAGAAAGAAACAACCGTCGATTGAAAAAAAAAATGCAAATAGATCGCTTTCACGCGTAAGGGTTTCAAATAAAGTACAACAGTGATCTAATATACACAAATATAAAAATAAAAGACAATACAATATGACTAAGCTAAAACTTAAAAATATTATATTTGCATAATTTTATTAATTATCAGTGGGTGGGCATCCACTGTCTATTCTGTACAAAAAATCTGCGATTGTAAGTTGAAATCCATTGAAAATGTTCATTTTATTTTATTTTATGTCCGTAAAAATAATTACAATTGAATTCAAGGGCCTGAGGCATTATGTAGTAGCAACTTTTAATTAATGTGTCGTACAAAGCTATATTGAGTATTTAAACCTCCTAGGCCATAAAAAACGGCTTGTCCTCACATATACCGTCGTCCTTGAATAGCTTGCTTAACAGTTATACAAATTAAACTAAAAAAAAGTATCTGTAAATAAATTGCCACCTAGGGTGATTGTTTTTTTTTCATACTAAAATTGTGCCTGTTACTCAAACCTAAGTGGTACGTGAGAATCATATCTATACAATTTTACAAGAAAGCCCCATAGGAAAATAATATTTTTTAACGCTTTAAATATTTGTTTATGCTTAAAATCATAAACAAACAGGTATTATACAGAATACCGTTAAAAATTTGTTTGCCACTTGAACTCTTCGTTTAATTCTCACCACTTTTCAATACTATCTCTTCACTCTTCTGGCAGTTTTATGGGAATTTATAAAATAAAAATACGTCGAATTCGAGTTCTACTGCACTGTAATAAAATATTTTAAACAAGATGCATATATTGCGTAATAATACAGTTTCCGCAATTCGGTTGTAATTACTTTAAATAGTACTGACAACAACCGATTTGTAAAGCCGCAATAGAATCGCGTGTACAGTAATAAGAGGCAATAATAATTATAGGC